ATTTAAATAGGGATAAATGCTAAACAGCCACTTACAAGCAAACTTAAAAACTTTTGAATTCACTTAGTAATGTTAGGAATATTAATGGATTCAACCAATGATAATTTTATAGATTTCAAAACTAAAATAGTTTGAATTGAAAATTTCCAAACGTTTTAGGATATAACATGTCCATAAACATTATACGATAGAAAAACAAAACAGTGCACTAAACATCGATGATAATAATTTAATATCAACATCAAACACAAAGGTTGTTAAGGGTTAAACACAAAAGCAACAGATTTCCAAGTCGTTCCATTCCAGTCACTAAAAACGTCGCACAAACAATTCTGTCAATAACAATAAACTAAGGGACAAAGTGACTTTGCAACTTGTCTAAACTTTTAGTCTGTTATCCCCATACAAACTTTATTGTAGTCTTTCTACTCTATTGGAAACCTTTGACGATGTCTTGAACAAGTCTGTTATTCGTTTCCAATACATTTTGAAAGGAAGTATTTCCAGTAAATTCGAGCAATTGCTTACCGGTTCTCTTGAATAGGGTAAGAAATTACACTAAACAAGAAGATTACGATTGTAATCAAACATTTAAAGGGTTTTAAAAGAATACATATGTAGCCATGAGGCTTGTAGCATAGATAAAAGGAGTAGCCAACACTTTTGAATTTGTTCTGTGCCGTAGTTAAGATGCTAATTTCCATAATTCTAGACAAATTATTTTGCTCATCTGCTATTAAAACTTTGCATAACAACTATGTTAGGTCACTTTTGTTCAAATAGAGCAACTCACGGTGAATAATTATGATATTTTAAATAATGAAGATTGTTTATCATTGACTGATGCATATGAAACACAGAATCAATATCCTACTAATATTATAAATGAGAAAGTTTGGATGTATGGATGTATGGATGTATGTTTGTGACAAGTGAACGCGAAAAATACTGGTCGGATTGGGCTGAAATTTGGCATGATGATAGCTCACATTCCCGATTAACATATAGGCATATTCTTATTTAAAAAATCCTTTAGAGCTCCGCCCCAGTGGCTCTGGAGTTTCCCATGTTAACCTTATAAGAAATGGAATTATTGAATCTTAACAGCTGTTTCAATTAAACAAGTTGATTCTGTTCTATGATGTTCAATAGCATTTAAGTTACAAGGATTACCAACAGGATGCAGCACTATTATTTCTTTTACATTTATGACAGCAGCTAATTTGCAACCAAAAGGTGAGGTAGCGAACGAACTTCAACCTGGAGGCGAGTTAGCGTAGCGAACGAGCTAACCTGAAGGCAAGTGAGCGCAGCGAACGAGCTCGAACCTAAAGGTGAGTGAGCGTAGCGAACGAGCTCCAACCTAAAGGTGAGTGAACGTAGCGAACAAACTTCAACCAGGACGTGATTGAGCCATGCGAACGATATAATCTTGAAATTTAAGAAGTTAAACGGGGCAAAGCCCGCGGGTTACAGCTAGTTTAAAATAAATAAGAGAAATAAGAAAAAAATAAAAATACAATTTTCAGATTTCATAATTTCAACCACCAGTATTTAAATAAGCAAAAACAGATAATTCAACACTAACATGACACAATTGGGCATTTCAATAGGCAAAAACCATCGGTAGGTAATATATTTTTAGGGCCTAATTTAGTTTGCAAGTCTTGCAGTTAAAGGAGAATATTCAAGTACAATTCAACCCTTTGGGTTCTAAAGTCACTCCACAACATAAAAAATTTTTCCAATAACAACAAATAATAGCTCGTAGACTATTTTCAATGGATTAAAACAACTTAGTGCGTTTTTATTTAAAATAACAATTCAAACACTTAAAACTAATAGCTCCTTATTACATTATCCAAACAGGAAAACACTTTGTCAAAGTCTTACTTTACCACCAAGCACACGATTTGGTTTACAAGATCCAAACAACCGACACGCTTTTGAAAAACAACAAATCGAGAGTTTCCCAAATAACCACAAAAGACAGACTGTCCCAACTTATCACGATAGCCGAAGAAATAAGTTTCGGAAGGGATTCCGACGACAAATATACGTTAGATAAAAGTAAAGTAACCATTCCCTCGGCTCTAAGCCCGCGCTATTTTTGTTCTTTTATGGCACATCCCCCAACTTTGCGACATCCCCCACAACTGCTTTATTCTCAAAATCATTTTCAACCCTTCTCGGAAGTAGTATGGTATATGCCGGTTCTGCGCCGCCCCAAGAGACACCTCTTGGGGCGAAGCCATATGATTGGTCGGAGAGTTCACGTGACTAAGTTTTCTGATTTATTTCACAATTAATGTGATACGACGGGTTTTCGCGTGTATTTATTTTAAGTGTTTAGGGTGCAGACAAAAATAAAACTTATTAATAGCTTGGTTAATATCTATCTATATATATAATACGTAAAGCCGTATTTTGTTAACGCAATTCCTCCCTTATTTGTGGACCAATTTCAACGTTTAAGATGTCAACAAATTCGTCTCAATATTTAGTTTTACAATAAGGTTTTAGAACTTTAAAATTCTACTCTTAGGGGCGTGAGACCCTCTCAAAGGTTGGATTTTCTCCATAAGAAAAACATAGAACAAATTTAAAAACAAAAAAAAACAGCTGTTTATAAAAAGAAACGCATTAGCTTTATAATGTTTTAATATTCAGTATGTTAAGACCAAGTTAAACAGTTAATCAGTTTTGTTGGAAAAACGGAAAATGCCTAAAGTTGAAAGAAGAAATATTGAAAACGGGAGGAGGAGACAATTAATAATAAGGTATCTTATGCGTATGAGGAGAGTAGAGAAAGAGAGGCCTGATCTTAAAGATACCCATCCATGTACACATGCACTTGGTGAGATGAATAATATTTGCCAGTTCTGCTATGCAACTTACTTTGGAAGTGAAAAAATCGAAGCACATAGTGTTGTCACGGTTGTAAAATAAACTTGCCTAATGTAAGATCAAATCAATGTAAGCAAGAAATTTTTACTTATGACACTGACAGATCGAGATATTTCAAAACATTTATTAGAAACCATAATAATGCCTTGAGTTGATAAGTTCAAGTAGTAAGATTATACCAAATCTTGGCGGACTTTATGTTTTAGTTGTAAACTTTTTTGTATTACTCGCTCTACTTTAATTGAGGAAAAACACAAATGGATTGTTTACTTCTAGGTTATGTTGCCAGTTCCTCGGACAAACGTATAAAACGTTTTTTGACTGAATTTTAGTGGTAATATTAGACATAAGTGAAGGAATTAGTGTATTCAACGATCGAGTAGTTACAGTCAAGTTTATTTTTATGATTCAGGAGAGGAAAATAATCTATGCTGTTCAAAAAGAGAAAATGAAAATTGCTATCCAAATCTTATAGCTACAAAAGTTATCCAACCTATTTCGACAAATGAATCCATACTTTCAAAATTTTGGGACAGGTATTAAGAGAAACCCCACTGAACAACGTGAGGACATTCTGATGCGGGACATATACTGTGACTAACAACACACAACATGTTAAAATACGTTAAACTATCAATGGTGTTGTTGCTTTAGCCTATTCAAAGCAGATTATGGCTTTTCAGTTGATAACCCAGAGTTTGTGGGTAAAAAATGGAGCACATTAAATTGTTGATGTCACCCCACTTTCCAGGATTCTCTACGGAGAAAATTCGTTTGATTAGGGGGATGTCTAGACAAAAGTTTTCTTCAATTCTCAAAGTTGGAAAAACTTTGTTGCAACATGTTTGCTCGAATTGAGGCAGATCGTTTGGCATTCATTAGAAGCTATCAGTTAAAACTGAGAGCAGAAAAATGCAGGTGCACCTTGACGACGCAAATAGAGATATTTAAAATTAGTTTCTAACAAGTGTTTAAACAGCTCTAATATGTAGACCTAACTAGAATTACTCGAATTTAAGCGTAACGTTTTCCTCAGCGTTATGTTTCATACTATGCGGCTCATTGAGCCGCACGGGTTCTCTAGAAAATTTGAAATGTATAACACATTCTATATTTAAATTCTAGGCAGGATGTTACCCGTCCTCTCTTGGTTATGATTTTTTATATTGATGTGGTGTTTGAAAGATAACTAGTTTACTATAGCGTAATAATTTGTTAGACTCCCTAACGTGTGTAGAACTGAAAAGTACTTTATTAGTTCAATATATTAAGGTAGGTTGTACGTATAAAAAAGAGAAAAATGGTTCTATGTTCACCCTTTATTTTATAGAAAGAAAGGAATCGAGGGCATGACAACATAATATGTGTATAGTCCTCTTTGATAAACAAATTTTTCCTTTGATAGAGTATGTCTCTGGTATGCAATATTTACACGCAAGCTGAGTTAAACTTTACTTTGTTCACCATAATTCAATCAGGATAATTTGTAATATACCCACGGCAAAGTACTTATACCATCACTTGAAATGTGTCTTTTGTCATCATGAGCTGACAATGAAATCTTGTTGAGTTCCATACTACACAGGTCATGTTTATAGCTCCTAATTACGTTACTTGGACTGTATTTGTCAATTTTGAGGTTTCAGTCAGTCAGTGTAGTCCTGGAAGCTGATGCCATTGTCGACATAGTGCTCTACATTCCACATCACCCATGAGGTAGGAGCATGATGCGTTTTTTTTATAGTGGTTTCCCCAAGAGGCCTAGCCCAGACAACATAACATGTGTCCGGTCCACTTCAGATTTCCTTCAAATTTTTTTTCTTCAAATTTTTTTTCTTCAAATTGACATTTTTCTTCAAATTCACATTTTTCTTCAAATTCATATTCTTCAAATTCATATTTTAACCGGTAATAGAGTATTTTTCTTCAAATTCATATTTTCTTCAAATTCATATATTCTTCAAATTCATATATTCTTCACATTCATATTTTATCCGTTAATAGAGTATGTCTTTGCTATTTTATACAATATTTACATTCGAGTTTAGTCAATTCTTCATTCTCATTCTTCTTCATTCTTCATTCTCTATCTTTCAATTCTCAGGTATTTTGTAGTGTCCCCACGGCAAAGTACTAATACCATCACTTAAAATGAATCTTTTGTCATCATGAGCTGACAACGAAATCTTGTTGAGTTCCACACTATACAGTTCATGCTTATAGCTCCTAATTACGTTATTTGGACAGTATTTGTCAATTTGGGTTTTCAGGCAGTCTTTGTAGTCTTGGAATGTAATACTATTTTCTACAACTGCTCTTTTAACTCCTTTTGATCTTTTTGAGATGCTGTCATTTTCTGACCTACTTGCATACATTTTTGATTTCAACGCAATGTGTTCAAACATAATTCTTCCATTTAGTTCATCCTTGAACTTTCCGATGATCTTCTTATTAGTGACACTGAAACATGGATGATTAGGTGGGTAGTCACTCGTGTCGAAAAAATCTTGCATTTCCTTCATATCTTTATATACATCATCAGTATATGTTAAGTATGTAAGTGAATCTGTGTCTGTGTACTGCAATTGAACTTTATCCCCGTATCGTGCTTTTATCACATTGTAGTGAAAGTCATACATCAATGTCTTAGACACGTCCAAAATACTCATTCCCACGTAGATAGGTTTGTTGAATACAAGTTTGGTCTTGCTCATGTGTACTGCCGCAAGTTGATCCGTAAATATTGTCCTCCTCTTGAAGTTAGGTTGAGCCAACCACTTGTCTACTTGTTTTTCCTTTGTCGCCAACCGGATGTTGACACGATTCCGAATGTTTTCCATGGTTTTGCCAAACACGGCATTATTCATAAGCTTGAAAAAATCCTTTTCAAAATTGTTTGTAGCTTTAGTTCTCATACTAGTATTCAGATCGATGTAAGGTTTAAGCCAGTTGCTCTGAGTGAAACTTATTGCTTTGTGAATATTCTTTAATTTCAAACCGAGAGAGATGTATTGCTTCAAATTCCGAAAGTGTAGAACATATCTCTTTTTGTCAAACAATGTGGCTAGAAGTTTCTCTTGTTTAGATCCGGGTGGTATTTGTCTTTCAGGTGCTAGAGGTAGATCGGAATGTAGGTCGTGCAGTTCTTGGGGATACTCTAAATCTACTTCCAATATGTATCCCATATTTCCATCATCTGGAACTGATAAAATATCAAGGTTGTGAACATCTTCTACCCACTTGAAATCAGAGTAAGGCATATGTTGGCTCATAGCCCAGCCATACAAGTTATTGGCGTCAAGGTATGTAAGATATGACGTGGGCAAATTTTCATTATAACTTTCCTCCATGTATTTGTTATTGGCAGTGGCGTACCGGTTCGAACATTGTGATAATCCTCCTCGTATCCCGTTTCCAATCATTAGAATCATATTGTAGTCTGATAACAGTTCAAGTTCGATCTCGGTTGTTTTGAGCATGGCACTCCAAGCTAGTCCTGGTGCTGTGTAGTACCATGCTGGGTCCAGCTGGTAAGTCTCCATACAAATGTTTCGAAAGTTCTCCATGACGTCTGCTAATTGCAATACATCTGATTGGTTGTAGAGTAAAGTGTATGCTTTCATGCTTTGTATATTAAATTCGTTCCAAACTTTGCTTGCATGCTCATAGTCTTCATCTTCAATGTTGGTCATGGTTAGTTTGTTGTAGAAGTCTTTCTTATGTGGGAGTGACGTGTATTCAAATTTCTGTAGGGAGTCCATAAAGTCATAAGGGTACACACCCTTTTTTTGCAGCAGCTTCAGCTGTTCACTCGAGTAGTACTTCGAAGTATGCTTAAAATGTTGAGGAGATAAGTTCTTGACGAGTATGTCTAAACTACTTGACATGAATTTAACCGAATCTACAAATCTCAAATCAATACCTCCTTTTACATGAACAGTATAAGAAATATATTTTTCCTCGTTATTTGGTATAACATCAATAGTGTCATCATTCAAACCAAACATTTTGATAAACAGGTGAGTATCGTATCCAGAAAGATTGTGAATAAATATGGGGAGGAAATGAGGTTTTCTAAAATTTAAATTACAAGCGTTGTGCGCTGGACCCCTTAGTTTTCCTGTAAGATGGTCATGGTCTCTAACAAACGGCTTGTCTTCTGTAAACTCCTTTCCACAAATATGGCACTGAGTGGCCGTCAATAGAGTAATATCGTCCTCCTCTGAAAGTTCCATTGGCTTAGCAGCTTCTTTTGAATATAGATAGCTTATTTTCTTAGACTCGTTGAACAACCTCTCTACAAAAACCTGAGCTGCATCTTCGCCAAAGTATGTTACTGGCCTTGCATAATTGTGTTCTTCTTGTACTATGTAATACGAAAAACTAATCGCATCATGTTTTTGGTACTTTTTCGTGTACGATCCGCTTGTGTATTCCTCTTCACTTCCGGTAGAATGTACTGGAGTAAGCATACATTCAAAATCAGCATAGACGACGAATGGCACTTTCATTCTCTTATTAAAGTCATTAAACTTTATTGTTTCACCTTCTTTGGGCATTATGATCTTAACTGCTTCGTGCTGCTTACAATATTCTCTATGTGTTTTCAATAAATCTTCTGTGCCAAAATGTGATAGGCACCGTCTACATATGTGGATACTATGTGAATGCTTTGATTTCTGTGCTCCAACAAGTCTACTTAGATTTTTAATTAGGCAATAATGTGTATTCTTCTCATCCTTTAAGTATAGTAAATCAACATGTTTCTCTTTCTCCTCATCGGTTGTCAGTAATGGATACACAACCCACTTTTCATCATGGCTGTAAACATTTATGGATATCCCAGTTCGCTTTTCAAAAAGTTTAACGTTACTCAAACTGACCGGGAAATCAATCCCATTCATGGCATAATCAAAGTCGTGCTCATATTTCTGGTAGTGTTGTGTTCTGTAAGGGTGTTCTGCCCTATCTACAGGATGCAGAGCAGCAAGTATTGACCACAAAAAACATTTTTGGTCTTTATTTACAATATTTATAGTGGCTCTCTTGTTTTTAATTGGTTCCGGCAGGTCTATGTATGAAGAACCTCTTAATGGTACATAGCGGTTGATCCTTAGTTCTATGTTAAGTATCCTATTCAGGGACCAACCTGATCCCTTAGTCTGGAACTCCTCCATTTCAGTCAAGATTTTCTTTTCTTTAGTTTGTAACTGATCTTCTATATTCGTGGTTGAGTATATGATATCGTTTTGAGTTTTAAAATTGATTTCTTGAAAAATTTCTTCATCGTTAGATGTTTTTTTAAACTCAGTTAAAAGTACAATGTTTATTTTTACGTTATTATTTTGCACTTGCTTGGCTATTTTATCATAAAATAGAGGTCTTGATAGTTTAAGAAACTGTATAGGGTCTTTTATCGCAAGCGTGTTGTCAATTACATACGTTTTCATTCTATTCTTGAACGCCTTCTCTAACTCTTTTATTTCTAGGTCAGGTTTAGGTTCTGCCATGTCGTTATTGGTTGATATTGCAGTGTTGTTTGTGGAAAGTACGGATGATTGGAGAGTATTTGTAGCGGAGCTAGTTGTGGGCATTACACTTTCCACGGGCTGGCTAGAGCTATTTGATTGTGCATTATTTTCCACGCAATGTTTCTTTGCAGCTGGAGCAGCAAGTTCATCTCTTGAACGTTTTGTAGTACATATTTTTAGATGGCGTGATTTGTGGGATAATGTCACTAATGTGCCACACAACTCACAAGGCTTCTGTGGTTCAATTGTACGCACCTGTGCACCACGGCAGGTTTTTAAGTGACGCACCATGTTTTTAGATAAAACAGTCCTGTTGCACTTAACACAAGTTTGTTTGTTCGCTTCCATTTTAAAATTTTTGTCCCTGGATCTCTGGATGTCCGTGGCCTATGATTTCTGTCTAAAACTCAGGATTTTACGTAGTAAGCTTCTCCTCTTCCTTCCTTTAAAACCACTCGATTATGACTGATTTGTCTTGCTCTTCTCACCGCTATTTATAGCAGAAAACTGTAAAAAATTAACACTTTTGTCTCTGGATCTCTGGATGGTCGTTTCTTATGGTTTCCGTCTAAAACATAGTATTTTTTCAGTATGCTTGTCCTCTTCTTTTCTTCAGAATATCTTGATTATGATTGATTTGTCTCTCTCTTCTCGCCCCTATTTATTGCAGAAAGCTGTAAAAACTTACACTTTTGTCTCTGGATCTCTGGATGGCCGTGTCCTATGGTTTTCGTCTAAAACACTGGCTTTTTCGCAGTATGCTTCTCCTCTTCTTCTCTTCAAAACCACTCGATTATGACTGGTTAGTCTCGCTCTTCTCACCGCTATTTATAGCAGAAAACTGTAAAAAACGAACACTTTTGTTTCTGGATCTCTGGGAGGTCGTTTCCTATGGTTTCCGTCAAAAAGACAGGGTTTTACGTAGTAAGCTTCTCCTCTTCTTTCCTTCAAAACCACTCGATTATGACTGATTTTTCTTGCTCTTCTCACCGCTATTTATAGCAGAAAACTTTAAAAAACTAACACTTTTGTCTCTGGATCTCCGGATGGCCGTGTCCTATGGTTTATGTCTAAAACACAGGGTTTTACGTAGTAAGCTTCTCCTCTTCCTTCCTTTAAAACCACTCGATTATGACTGATTTGTCTTGCTCTTCTCACCGCTATTTATAGCAGAAAACTGTAAAAAATTAACACTTTTGTCTCTGGATCTCTGGATGGTCGTGTCCTATGGTTTCCGTCTAAAAGACAGGATTTGACGTAGTATGCTTCTCCTCTTCCTTTCTTCAAAACCACTCGGTTATGACTGATTTGTCTCGCTCTTCTGACCACTATTTATAGCAGAAAACTGTAAAAAACTAACACTGTTGTCTCTGGATCTTTGGATGGACGTGTTCAATAGTTTCCGTCTAAAATACAGGATTTTAGGTAGTATGCTTTTTCTCTTCTTCTCTTTGAAATCACTTGATTATGACTGATTTGTAGATAGCTCTTCTCACTCAAATAGCTCTTCTCACCGCTATTTATAGCAGAAAACTGGAAAAAACATACACTTTTGTCTCTTTATCTCTGGATGTTCGTTTTCTATGGTTTACGTCCAAAACACACACATTTACGTGAGATATTTTTCCTCTTCGAGTCTTCAAAAGCACATCTAAAGTGCATCTTTTACGTATGATGCTAGTCCTCTTCCCTTACTCCAAAGCGCTTAAGTGTGAATGATATAACTAAATATTTCTAATCACTTTTCATATAGGAAAATTCATGAAATGCCCACCATTTTGTCTCTTCATTATTATTATCTTACATTTAAACAATTTGTACCTAAAATAAACAACAAAAATGAAATAAGCTATACATTACGGATTATGTTATTGAATTACAGGATAGACAATTAATTATAATTCTCACTTGAACAGCTCTAGATGTTTGAGAACCAGAGTTAACTGCTGATACACAGTTTTGTAAACAGTCACTATAAGATATTCAGACAAAGAAACATAAGTTTGCAATTTAGTTTGTGGGAGGATGCAACATTACTCACATTAGAAGTGTTATTAATGTTTACTCATTGGTACATGTAATGTGCTGACGTTTCTTCCAGGCAAATCATGGGTCCAGGCAAATCACGAGCTACAGCACTGCTCTCTGTAAACGGAGTTTCATCTCTAAATTATTCTGGATATATTTTCAAATAAACATTTAGCTAAATACTCCCACTGCAACAAACCTGCTGACTAAGCGAATTTCCATTTGTCTGAGTTAATTTTCAATGAAATCTGTATATGCAAGGAAACTATTAAATTTTACAATATTCTCCATAAACTAATATTTTTTTATTTTCTCCGTTACCAATAACTCTACAAAAACCCTTAATATAATAAATTATTGGTTTTTAAGCTCTTTAGAAAAGGTCTAGAGAGAAGTTGGTAAATTTTGTATTTTGAGGGTTAAAAATAACCTCGCCAAAGCAAACCTGCAGACTAAGCCAATTTCCATTACTTAGCTGGATTTTTATTCAAATATTTCCTGAAAATTATCAAATTTATTCCCTATTTAAATAACATTAATTTTAATGAGTAAATAGTATTGCTGCTACAGGGAAGGTATTGAGTTGTGTTTTTTTATTGAAATGTTAGTAGCTTAGTATTAAATAAACAAAATTACCAAATTTGATTAAAATGTATCCATAAACAAGGAAAATGAAACAGTTGATCTATTCTCCGTAAGAATAACACGTGAATTTTTATCTAAAGTTGTTTTAAATTATCTCCGCAACCATCAGGCATACAACAACACTTCAATATACAAATTTTTTTTTTACTCTACAATGGTTTGGAAAGAAATCGTGAAATTTTATTTTTTAAACCAAAAATGGGAAAAAATATTTTTTTACTCCATAAAACCGCCATATCATTTTTGCTTGAGTTATCGCGCTAGCGGACTTACACAAATATTTACATGAATTTGAACGGAGGGTAATTTAGGCCTCTGGGAACCTCAAAACGAAAAAGTAAATCGGTAAAGGGGCTACGTCTTACCATGGTAACAGTTATGGTAACAGCTTATTCCCTTTATGGGAAGTTCGCTAAAATGAGAAAACCCATTTATTTTACCCAATGGAAGCCCCCATAAAACCCCGTCCGTCATGCTGGTCATCCCGCCTTACACATTTAAACAACATTTCATCAAAATCGGACAAAAATTACTCAAATGACAAACATATATATATATACACATATATATATATATATCTGAACGAGTAGTGTTTTTGGCCTCTGGGGACATCAAAATGAAAAAAGTAAATCAGTTCCAGCTAGGTATTACCGTTATGGTGATTGCTACTTTTCTATATGAAAATTGGCTAAAACCAACTTAAAGCTAGTATCACATAAAATTGAACAAATTAGGTATCCTTACTTAAGAAAAGATAGCACAACAACCATACCTATTTTCTTTAGATAGTTTTTATTTTAATTTTTTAGGCAACCTTCCACTAACACTTGTGCAGGAGTGAAAGATAAATGATTAGGCAGCTTTGTGTGGACATCTTCACCTTCCCCCACTGTAGACGTTTTTCGTATGAGGACGCAATCCAAGATCGTAAATTGAGTGAATTTTGAAAATAACGTAAAGCCTGTGTGAAGTTACTTCGTCATACTACTCAATATATACAGATAACTATTTCACAAAACATAGATTTAACAAATTCTTCTAAAAAATAGCCTTATATATTTTTATTCCTATTTAAATAGTTAGCTGATTGTCTGCTATGGTTTTATAAGTGTTAAGTTAGACTGACTATAACGATGGATGATGTAATACTGTACAGGTTTACTCCGTAAAATGAGCGAGTTTTAAAAATCAGCTTTTAACCCGTTTAATGAACGATAATTTTCATCATATTACTCAATATATTAGGACAACTACTTCAAAAAAAAAAAAAAAAAAAAAAATGATTTAACAACTTATTTACCTTTATAAGAATTCTTAAAGATATCCTTACACCTTGTAAATCAATTGATTGTCTG